TTTTCTTGGGATGATAAATTTTTTACAGAGAACATGAGCACCACTTCACGCCTACCTTCACAACACGAAGAAAAAAGGTAAAACGTCAATCGGATGGGACGATGAAGCCACGAAGGTATTTGGAGCTTGTAAAGTTGCGATCCAAAATGCAGCTTTGCTCGCTCACCTATCACACGAAGCAACACTTGCTATCTTCAGTGACGCGTCCGATCTCTCAGCAGGACCCGTACTCCAACAATATAGCAATGGGAAATGGCAACCACTTGGCTATTTTTCGAAGAAGTTCTCCGATACTCAACTTAACTACAGTACATTCGACCGAGAGCTACTCGCTATTTACATGGCTATCAAGCACTTTAGAAAAACGTTCGTGGATCGAAACCTGGTCGTTTTTACCGACCACAAGCCATTAACATATATACTTCCGAAGAAACCATCACTATCGGAAACACCACGACGAGCAAGACAACTTATTTTCATAAGTGAATTCACGACCGACATACGTCACATCAGTGGAAAGGACAACATAGTCGCCGACGCACTCAGTCGCATACCAATCGACAGTGTAACATGCCCTACATCAATTGACTATCATAAGATCGCCGAAGCACAAGACAGAGATAGCGACAACATAAAACATCTATCGAAGCAAAGTAACTTGTCCATCAAGCAAGTTACAATGCCAATGACGAATCTACCTATCTACTGTGAAGCCTCAACGTCAGCCATGCGACCATACCTACCAGTAGAATGTCATCGCGAAGTCTTCAATACACTGCACAACATCAGTCATCCAGGTGCTAGAACAACAAGAAAACTCATCATTAAGAAATTCTTTTGGCCTTCAATGCAAGCGGATGTTGGCAACTGGGCGAAGCAATGCATTAAATGCCAAAAATTCAAAGTACAAAGGCATACATCAAGTAGCTTAGCTTCATTTCCACCTACGGAGAGATTCAAACACCTGCACGTTGACATCGTTGGACCATTACCTACTTCACCGCAAGGACATCGTTACCTCGTAACAATGATCGACAGAACAACAAGATGGCCAGAAGCAATACCTACCGATGATACTTCAGCTGAATCCGTTGCGAAGATAATTTATGAAAATTGGATTACTCGTTTCGGATCACCTAAAACCATTACAACGGATCAAGGAAGAAACTTCGAAAGCAACCTATTCCTCAAACTTCTTCAAACTATGGGAAATTTATGTCTTCTATAGACGCCGGCATAATTTTGATGGCCTCGCCGAGTTCATAAGGATCTCCGCGGAGGACCGCCTTGATTTTCCTTTCTTCGGCGAGAGCGTATGTGTAATAGGACACTCGCTCGGCCGTGAAGAGACGAGTTATATTCCCGAAGTCTTCTATAGACGCCGGCATGATTTTGATGGCCTCGCCGACATTGGTGGCTTGGTCATAATTGAAACCCCTATCGTAGGGAGTTTTGGACAGCTGTGTAAATTTCGCCTTGTCTGTGAGAAAGACAGGGGGCGGGACTTGGCTTTTAGCCAATTTGCGTCTGCAAATGGGGGGGGCTGCGGAGGTAGGGGCAACGATGGGGGCTGCGGAGGTTGAGGCAGCGGCGCGGGGGTGCGCGGGCGGTGGCGGCGGCCGTCGGGGTGGTGGGAGTGCGGGAAGTCGCGGCGCGCTTCAGGCCGCGCTTGGATTTCACTAGCGTGAATTGGGCTGTATCGTTGACCGTTCCTTCGGAGTCGGATGACTCCGAGGAGCCGGTGGAGCTGTGGGCGGTCCTCTTCCGGAAAGAGGAGATAACGGACGTGGTGTCCGAGTGCTCCATATCGGAGTCGGGGTACACGGGCGAGTCGGTCGGCGGGGCAGCCGCTTAGGTCGCGAGGAAAGCCGCGACGGCGGGCGGGGTGACGCATGCCTTAAGGGCAGGGGGAGCAAAGAAATTAGAGACTTGGCTGATTGTGTTCTCGTCGACATCGTAGGCTATGCCTTGGGTTTGGTAATACTGAGCGATCGTGGCCGAAATGGCGCGTGCAAGACCATGTTTAATGTCTATGGTAGACATGTTGGTTTAGACAGGGGGGGGGGCTGACGTTTGTTCAGAGAACACTTGCTCCGAGAAGAACGACGCCTTGTCCTCAAAAGGACAAGGACCGTTTTTTCAACACTAAGAATATCCAGGTAACAATTTATAACAATAATAGAAAAATAACAAGAAAACAGTAACAGAATAGTAACAAAAGAACAATAAAGGCACAGCGCGCTCAGACCTCCCCGCTGAAGCGAGGGGGCAAGAACGGTGCGAAAAACAAGTGACTCACCTACGGCGACTGCTCGGTCGGTGTGAGCCGGAGAGAGCGGGGCGCGCGGGCGATAGGTTGCACAACCGCACGAGGACGGAGCGCGGACTGTATGCACTACCGCTCGGGAGCGGTGCGCAAACGGAACTCACGCGCGCGCGCTTTTTTTTTTGTGCCCAAAGCAATGTGGGCAACCCTCCGGAAAGCGGGGGAGGGAGGCGGTGAATGCTCATAGCATACCACGCAGCCGGCTGCGTGGTTATGTGGAGACTTTTACCCACTAAACACCGCCTTTAGGGGCTGGCTTAATCTAGCTAGAGATATTTAAGCCGTATCGAACGCGACCTCCCTTGGGTGAAAGGGGGGCGCTAGCGGCGAGTAGCCGTTGGGAAGAATTACTGCCTAACTAAGGCGGCTTACGAATGGGATGACTAATTATATTGAGTTTAGAAGGTATTGGTGCTCGGTAAGAGCGAGCGGACGATCCTGAGGGGACTGGGAACTGAAAATTGCGATCTCTCTTACGTCGATATTGCGGATAGCAGGGTATACTGTATCTACGTTATCGGCGTAAGAGGTTCCGCCTGATGTCGGGGCCCTAGTGGGCGAAGGTGAGGAGGCCTGTAGGGTTCCTGAGGGGGCCGATATAGATCCTGAGGTGACTGAGAGTTGCCCTGAAGGGGCATTTTGGATGGGAGAGCCGGGAATGTACGGTCATTGACCGGTGTCGGTGCTTTTTTGGCAGCTTTGTTGCCGAGATTGGGGCGAGGCGCGCGAGGGCAGCCTCTGAAGTTGGCCGTATGGCCAGTCTGTCCGCAAAGGACGCACGCGGGTGGATACTCGGTATCACGGGGCCGAGGACACTCTTTCGAGCTGTGCGGGTCTAGGCACTTAACGCACCTGGGAGGGGCTGAGCAGTTGGCCGCCGCATGCCCGTAGAGTTGGCAGCGGTGGCACTGCGCCGGAAAACCGCGCCTATAGGGGGCTTCGACTTTGACTCTCGACAGGCCGCACACAGTGTGTACCTGTCGGAATATGTCTTTCGCCTCCGGCACGTTGGACAAAATGAGGAGGGCAAGCGAGTACCTCTTGCCCCTAATGCTGTGCATCTTGTGCACAGCCTCAACTGGGAATTCCTGGGACTTAAGGTCCTCCAGGATTTTGTAGTGTAGTGCTCCCACGTTAATATACTTTAGTGTTAAGGTGGAATAATGAGCATTCTAATTAAAGTTTTAGTACCAACCACACGTCTCCTTCATTTGACATCTTTCCTACATTACATGGCGACCAGGCGGTGCGCAGCGACAATGAACGCGCACCGCCGCGGCCTGCATAAATAGTTAAAGAAAAATGGAAAAATTATTATAAAACTAAAGGAACAATTTTCAACTATTGAATGGACACTACCGGATGTGACAAGTAAGCCGAAACGGGGACATAAGAAGAGGCGACAAGAACTATTTAGAATGTGTAATATATAAAAAGTTTATATAAATTGCAACGAGACTTTTATTTCACTTCCTTTATTTATTTATTGAAGGCAGAGTATTATTTTGTAGTAGGTACAAAAGTTGTGTCACTTCTGTGTTGTAAAATTTAAAGGTGTGAGTTGTGCACGCGTGTCGTTGAACGATACGCGTAAGCGCCATGAAATCCCTGGCGCTTATGACGTTTTCGTCGCGAAAAAACGAATCATTAGGGATTCGTTTTTTCGTTTTGCAAGCTATCGCATGTTTTAATAGTTTGGTTAGACGCTGTAACTATTGTTTTAGCGCTGCAGCGAAGTTTAGTTCTAACTCTTACCAAAATGAAGCAAACTTTTGGTTCGGGATGTCTCTTCTATACGTTAGTAATAAAGTTCGATGAAGTTCATTTGCTTTTTAATTCATATAAATACAGGATAATCTCTCGCAATATAATAATAGATACAGGGCCTGCGAAGAACTTCGTACTCGGCACTCTTATCTTTCACTCTTATGATGTATGTAATGATACAACAATAAAAAATAAAACCTAAAAAAAAGGTTGGCTACCCCGATGATATCGTCAAAGATCAAGGTACGTTTTCCCGCCTGCCCTAGAAACATACTATACTTAGAAAGAAAAGTATGATTTCTTGAAAAACTGTTATTCCCAGAACCCCAAATGCTGTTAAAAATTAAATCACTACGTTTAAATGAGGGGAGTTCTTTGCCCAGCTGTGTGACGTATATAGGCCTTTAAGCTTTTTTAGTACGCTTACAAGGGTGGCCTGTATTATTACTTAATAGACTAATATAATATTGGAGTGCCTGTATGCTCATTTGTCACTCTTTCCAGTGTATTAAAACTACGAAATATATACGTACTTACTACAATTACATAAAAATATATTTTCTAACTATTAATAAATTTTATTAAAATTCCTAAGTTCCATAATAGTAGTAACTATAGATATTTAATAGTAGTAACTATAGATATTTTTTTTTTAATTTCATCTCAGTGGCAACTGGCAACACCAGTTGTGTTGTGTTGTATTGATCTTTTAGCCAACCAATAGCGTTTTTAAATCAAAATTATTCAATGATCAATGCAGTAATTCGCTACATCAATGTGTGGCGAGTAGTGTTGGTTGGACAGAGTACTTTTGGTTCACGTCAATTGATTAACGTGAATCATTATTGTCAAAACATTGTTTTGAAAGATTTTTAATAATTTGTAGATAATCAAATAGGCATACAAAATGTCTTCATTGGTAAGTGCTACCCTTTTTTAAATTTGCCATCGTCTGTAAATTTTGAGTATTTATGATATATATTTTGCGGATAATCACTATAAATTGCATAAAGTTGATGATGGCATTCAATAACTGAGTCATAAAATTTGAAAGCAAACTGAAGTACTGCAAAATTAAATACTTAATCAATAGATTTCACTGAATTTGACTATGAGAAGAAGTAAATCTTCTGAGATAAATATAATTTCGAATGATTTTTATTTTATTTCAGCGCATGAAGGCAGCAAAATGCCCTTCTGATGAGCTTGCCATCACAAACTGCGCCCTCATTAATCCAGATGATTTCCCTAGCGATGTCAAGTATGTCTGATTAATATAACTTAAAATTAAGTAAAATTAAATCTAATATTTTTTACTGTAAGGCTTAAGTTTATTCAATATCATAAAAATATTTTTTGTTACATAAATGCTTCAAAATTATATTTATTATATAAAAGTTGTATGTGGTAATATTTCATATTCAGTAATAATAAAAAAATCTGAAATACTAAGTAGAAATGGGCCAAATATTCATTTCATATTCGGTATTCGGCATATTCGGCACCTTTACCAAGTATTCATATTCGGTCGAATATTCGGCTTAATCACCAAACATTCGTTAAAAAGGTACTCAAAGTGCCCACTGTATTGAAATGTATGAATTGAGTAATGCCATGTCTTTCATAATTTTACTGTTGTAATTATATTTTATTTATGGGTTAAATCTACTTGTATAGCGTTATGTTTTTGAGGCACTGTAGATTTATTTTCCAATTATAGCAAATAGAAAGATTGATAAAATGTTTTTGGAATCAAACAAAGAAACATTACATTAGTGCATTTCACTTTACTTTGGTCATCAGTTTCTCTAAAATAAGTCCAAATAGTAGATTTCCTGCCACTCATTTTTATCATAAAGTTATCAACTCAGTACTAGATGATGCAATAACATGTCAGGTGTGGTAGGGGAGAGAGGAGCAATGTCCGGTGCTAATCTCGTGCAGTTTATGGTAACAAGTTTTGACATAAATTGGTTAGGTACTGAGGTGATCCTGCCGAATAATGTTCAGCCGAATATTCAGTTCCGTAAAAGTTTTACTGAACTTTTGGCCGAATATTTATATTCAGTAAAATCCATATTCGGCCCATCTCTATTACTAAGCGTATAAACTTGTAGTCTTAGCACATCATTTATATACATAAAAAACGACAATTTCTCTATCAGTATGGTAGGGTCGATGCGCTGGTTTTCGGCCTTTTAGTGGAGTTGTCAACTTTAAGGTACAATAAAAAATAATAGCCATTATGTTGACCTACTGCTGTTAATGTTAATTTATAGCTTATATAATGTAGTTTTCATTTTTATAACTCATTGATGCTACAAAAGAAATCTATTTTTTATAATAATTTTTGATGTGAAAAATATGCAAAATGCTAGTTTTCGGCCCCAAATTTTAGATTTCGGCCCACAAGAATTTTAGTTTTCGGCCACTGTATTAGAAGAGGTAGTACAAACATAAAAGTGTTTTTGTAAAATCAGAAAATGGCAAAACGGTTTGGGAAATCGGTGTATTTAGTTTTTTCAATCGGTGGTTGCGATTTTTTAACTGTAACTTTATTTGGGGGTTAATCATTTTTCTTTGTATCATAATCTAATAATAAAATCTTTTAAATACAGCATATCAATCGAATCTTCTCATTTAAGAGTATTTTGTACTTCCTCATAAGTATTTTTGTTCAACAAAATCTGTTACCATCTCTAACCATCAGTACATCTCAAATCCATTTGGTGCAAAAGTCACATCCAATATAATGATTTCTTATATTTACACGAACACTACACATTGATTAAAACTACTTTTACGGATTTTATCGCGTTTAATTTTAATTTTTTTTTTTTTTCATATCACATCCAATATTTTTCCAGATCTTCTTCTGTATCGTTTATTAAAAGACGAGTATTATGACACAAAGCGCAATTTACTCTTACCCTATTCTCCTTCATAGATTTCTTGGATTTAGCTATTTTTCGTATTTGAACTTTAGCACTCTTTAATTTTTCTTTTTCTATTTTTTTCTTTTTACAAAATATTTTAGTTCTTCTGTATTTTAACTTTCACTTATCTTCATAAAATTTTCGCCACACCGTAGATGAAATTGCTGCGCAAGAAGGTGCACGTGTACTGTAATCAGTAAATTTTTTTTTACAGGTTACGGTTTAATTAAATGTTTTTTCTATTGCATCTCTATATTTTTTATTTAATAGTACTGAAACCAATCTTCCACTAGTTTGTAGAGGTGTAATAGTCTGTTTAGTTGGAATATAAACCCACAAATTTTCTAAAGTTTCAGAGATCTTGTTTGTTATCGTCGGTGTTTGTAGTGGTATCATTGTGGTGATTTGAGTCGTTATTGTTTCATTACTGAAATCTATTATCATTTCATGCATTGTCAGTACTGTTGTCGTTAGTAGGCTTATTTGAGTTTGGATTACAAGAACATCATATAACGATACTTAGGAACCAATATCCAAATAACTTCCTGACAAATGCAATGTTGAAATTTTGTTATCGATTAACGATTCTTGCTGATGCATCGGTAGATGTAATATGAATAGTTAACACAACATCGTGAGTTAGAATATTTTTATCTTGATCTGTGTTGCACAGACTTTCTGGAGACTTAAATGGACTTAGTGGTTTTATATTGCTTGATTGGAGAATTTCCAAGTCTTCGTTAGCCTGTCTGTGTGGATGTGGAACAATATTGATCTGAGAAGACTTTCGTTTCAATTTCCTTATCTCATTCACTATAATAGCAACCTTTATGTTTTTTTCTGCCAAAGTTGATTTAAAATGTTTCTAAACTTTTCTAATGGAAACTACGTCTGCGTTAGTTATTTCTTTAGAAATATTTATTCTTTCTTTCAATTATCACCGATTAGTCTTTCCAGGGTTTGCTGGACTCAATTTGAGTAATCCACTGCATTGAGATCTATTTAATAAAGTCCGCATTTTCTGAAGCCATTTACTTATTATATTTCTTTGGAGGAGCCATCTGAAGAAAAAAAATTCTTGTTGAATCTTCTTCCCAAAACGCAATGTGAATAAAATATTTGATGAAATGGCTATAAACGTAAACTAAGACAGCATTCTATTTTCCGCCGTCGTATTCTTTCATACAATTTTAAGTTGGCCGAAAACTAAATAAATATTTTAGAGTCAATCCAGTTTTCGGCCACGACTGAAATGGATATTTTTGTTTCGACACTAACTGTCCAAATTGCAGTATTTAGTGGCCGAAAACAGAAAGTTAGTGTCTACGCACGCTACGATTCAATATAAGTAAGAAAGATGAATTATAGTACGTAACCAAATAAACGAAAGAGAAAAAGTATTTAGGCTAAACTCAGGTTACTTTTCGGCCGCATGGCCGACAACCAAATAATAAGACAATTTTATGTGTCACTTTTCGGCCACTTAATTTATTAACTATTAAACCGTGAGAAGGCGCGCTATGAGCAATTTGCTCACACAAAAATTTAATTCAAAAATTTTTTTGTCTATCCCTTGCCACACCAATTCTAACCTACTTACGTACCTTCCTAAATATTCACCCCCTCTCCCCTGACGCAATTTTCGATTCGCTCAGTGGCGTTGCGACCGCGCAGCAAGGCGTTTGTGGAGGCCGTGTACCAACGTGCGGCAATTTGCTCATCACGCGCCCATCCGTGTAAGTATTTATTTTTGTGGTTTAAAAAAGTTAGATTGTTATTTCTGCCATATTATTTCTTATTATTAAATTATTATTTGTTTGATTTATATTAGTTGATTATCATGTAAAAACTCTTTAGTAATAATGTTATTATTTTTATTTTTCTTCTAGCTACACTACAGATACAAAATGGACGATCGAATGCAAGCACAAATTCGTTCGTGGTTGGAAGAGGATTCTGGTGATGAATTGGATGCAGATCTTGAAAATGGGGAACAATATCGTGTTGACACCATAGAAAGCGATAGTTCTGTCATCCGTAGTCCTCACGAAACTGATACGGAGCAATCGTCGGATGAAAACGATGCTGATATTTCTACTCCCGCGACTCAACAACAAAGAGGTAGGATCCCATACTATATTGGCAAAGATCGTTCCACAAAATGGCTTATCCACAAGCCTTTACGTAACGTACGTACTAGGAGTTATAACATAGTTATCCACCTGCCAGGAGTAAAAAATGTAGCTAAGAATGCCAAAGAACCTTTACAATGTTTCTCATTCTTTGTGGATGATACTATGATAGACAAAATAGTCCTGTACACGAATGTGTACATAACTAAACTACAAAAAAAGTTTTCACGTGAACGGGATTGCAAACTTACAGATGCAGTTGAAATAAAAGCATTGATCGGAGTTTTGTACATGGCGGGCTTGAAAAAGATCTGTCATTTAAATGTAAAAGAAATGTGGCTAGATGATGGAACAGCATGTGATTTTTTTAGAGCAACCATGTCAATAAAAAGATTTTTATTTTTGTTACGGGTTTTGCGATTCGATGACATAAATACTCGTGATAACAGAAAGGAAACCGAAATGGCACCAATCCGAGAAATTTTTGAAAGCTTTGTTGCTCATTGTAATCAAAATTACACACCCGGGGAATACTGCACTGTGGATGAAATGTTGGAATCATTCAGAGGCCGCTGTAAATTTAGAGTTTATATATCCAACAAACCCGCAAAGTACGGCATCAAAATCTATGCACTTGTAGATTCCAAAACCTTCTACACAAGTAATTTGGAGATTTACGCCGGGAAACAACCCGCAGGGCCATTCAGTTTGAGTAACTCCGCTGCTGATGTAGTGAAGAGAATTGCACAACCCATATTGAACACGGGAAGAAATCTAACTATGTACAATTATTTTACATCCATACCGTTGTTTGATGAACTGAAAAACACCTACGGAACAACTGCGGTGGGAACACTGCAAAAAATAAAAAAGAGATTCCGCCTTCTTTTTTGTCAACAAAGGATACGCCAATGCCAATTTCAATTTTTGGTTTCGGTGAAGATAAGATAATCTTATCATATGTGCCAAAGAAAAAAACAAAGAAGATTGTCCTTATGCCATCAACACTTCACAATGACGACGCTATAGACCAAGAAACTGGAAGTGAAGCTAAACCTGAGATTGTAACATTTTACAATTCCACAAAAGGAGGCGTAGACGTTGTAGATCAAAAGATAGAGGATTATTCCGTTGCCAGAATCACATCAAGATGGCCAATGCGCTTATTCTTCTCCATTTTGAATATAACTGGG